TGTTTGAGCTGTGGCGGATGAACAGGAGTGAGTGGGAAACGGGAGCTCATTCTGTGCTGATGATTTCTGTTCATTGAAATGATCTCATGACCCTTTCTCTAATACCATCTGCCTTTGACTATCAATAGCAAATCTTGTTCTTGGCTGTAAAGTAAACCAAAGGCTGTTAGCTATTTACAATTAGAGTTGATCCGATACTAGTATCGGAAATGCCGTCGATACCAATGAAAAATCTGGCATTGGTATCAGCCAGTACTTCTACCCATGTACCGATCCGATACCATTTTCTTAAATAATAACTAGTTATGCACGTTAGCTTTGCTTAATGCTGCAAATCGGAGATCAATTCTTCTTCGCTGCTTGTGGCAACACATGAAGTCGTGCTGTTGCCACAAGCAACCATTGTTTAAAGCAGCGAAGAAGAAAGCGCGCGCTAGTAGTATGTCTGCTGTTTGACAGTATTTAAGACTGGACCAACCAGCCAGTAAAACAGCGACATGTCTCATATGTCATACTGCAATTTCATATTTACATACGGTTAGCACAAGATTAGCAGCTTCAACACTTAATAAAGCATTTGAATACGCGTCACCCCGCAGAAGACGATGGCAAGGGCAGAGAAGGAAGAGCCGCGCCAGAATCAGCGATCTCTGGAAGCTTCATTCAAACGAAGAGAAATGTTTTCAAAAGACAGCCAACGAGCGATAAATACATACGACAAAATTATCGAGTTTATGGTCAACTGAAATGCCGTGTATTTAACAAAATTGTTTCAGGACTTGAAGTTATAAAGAGGTTATTTTCTTATCTTTTTCATATATATTTTTTTTGATTCCTAGATTTATTTTTTGCACTTTTATATACAGTTGTATTTGTAAATCTAAAATACCTTTTTCAGTTTAGTATTAGATGTGTGGCTGCATTTTAAGTTCTTTTTCACTGAAGAAAAATAAATAGATTAAAATAAACAGACTCAGATAATAAAAATACTCTAGTTCACTTCATCTATTTGTTCATGTTTTATTAAGGGATCAGTCTGAAGGACATCATAAAATAATTCATACAGGGCTATAAGTTGACCTATGGCTAAGCCACACCCCCTCCACTCACTCGGACAAACAGTCAACATTCGGAGACAGGCGGACTATGACAGCTGTCACATAGGAGACATTATACTGATGATTTTCGGAGACAGAAAGATTATATATCATCTTGAGGTCACCTAAAGTGCCTTAACTATGCATTGGAGGGTTATATTAATAATTTTATTGTTGAGAAGGTCGATGAAAAGCTTTAGCTCCAGGCAAAAATTTACAGGTCACAGTGTAAACGTGATAAACCCGTATCGTTGCCATCACCGTTTGGTGCTACAGTATTTACATGAATCATTCAGCACAACATTGTTAACATTTGTTATCTCGGTTATTTACAGATACGTTAATGAAGCTAAGTGACATGTACAACGCAGCTAAAAGTTAACGCTAACGTTTTCTAATGTTAGGCTAACGTTACATTAGAGATGTTAAAGATAACGTTCAAATACGTTGTTCACTTAACTTAGATCAGATGTAGACATCCTTGTTTGTGTTGTGTTGGTGTTGTGGTCTACTGCTTAATCGCATTACTTAATCCAGAGCAGACACTTATCCCGGTTGAGATGTGGCTTGGGAAAGAGTAAAAAAATCCACACCGTCGCCCAGCCTCTCGGGATACCTAGTGTCGGAGTTGCATGTACCCCATGCACACAGCTTGACCATTTTAAACTTAAAATGACAAGAAAAACATATAAAAACGAAAGAAAAGTGACTAACTACAATGCATTCCAATAGACGTGGAAGCAAAGGATGTCCGAGTGTATTGGGTTAGCTATGTGCACTGTGATTGGCTCATCGCGTTTGGGGGCGTGGCTTAGCCATAGGTCAATTGCAGGGGTACAGATACTGTACACACCCAGGTATCGAATCAGTACTCTGTATCGGTTGATACCCTTTTCCCTTCCCGATAGCTGCATTAAGGGTATCGGCCAACACGAGTACTTATCCGATACCTGGAACATCTCTATTTACAATTTTGCTGTTCATTATGTCTCGGCCCAACGTCCTGTTTCAGTAGGAAACATCCTTAAAAGACCTCAAGAAATGGCTAATTGGTCTTTCTTGTTTATGGCTTATTACAGTGTGTTGTGTAAGAACAGGTGGTTTTTACAAGCATGTTTCACTACAGAGCTGTGATGCCCTCATGGGCCGATAATGTCACATTGCTCTGATTTTTCTCTGCTGCAGATGTTTAAGAGCTTCTTATTTTATGTGATAACTAACTGGTTTTAGCAATGTCGTTTTAAAACAGTGTGACTGTTTTGTGTAACAAAAGACATTTTAAAGTATGTCAGTTACCAAGCAGTTTGAGTCCATTGACTTCCGTTGAATGAACAAAAAAAACACTCGAGAGAAAAATACTTGGAAGAATCTCCTCTTATTTTCCACAGAATGAAGTAAGCCATACAGGTTTGTTGAAATGACATAAGGGAGAGTAAATGGAAGAATTAAAGTTTTTCACTGTAAAACCATTGTCAGAAAAGGTTTCTCTGTCATGTGCTGGTCTGAATCCTTTATGTGGGAAACGTATAGCTTTTAGTGAAAGCATGATTTTAAAAATTACAAACTTATGAAAGTTATGATGTTGAAAAGGGAACATATGCTGCTTTATATATTTCTATGATTATTATTACAATGTTATATTTCTTGTTAAAGAGGCGCACAGCGGCCTGTCCTGCAGCTTTCGCTCAGTCGGGTTCTTCACACTGACTGAGAGTCTGTCTGAGCGATCAGCTCAGGATTCACATATGATGCTGCACTACCCCCTTGTGGCTACAACTGCATTTATTCTGCCTATAACTGTAGCGACATACTGAAGATGTACACATTGTAAATGGACCAAACTGTAATTGTTATGAGTGTTTTTGGAGCCATTTTAATCTTAGTAATCCACATATACTGCTGCACTGAAACTTTTGTGATGATTGTTAGTTACAGTTTCTGGATAATAAGGATGAGCACGAATACTCAGAAGTGACAGCAAGATTTACTGATCATGAAAACAATGGACCTTATTCATGAAACGAGCAGAACTAATTTTTGTGTAAATCGTTTGTAATGCCACTCGTAAATGGCTGGATACATGAATGTGAACACAATTTGTTAGTTGGTACGAAAAACATTTAATTCTGATACTTCGTTCCATGTTTAAATGATGCATCTGAACATTTTGCCTGTTCTTTTAGGCAAACTGATGACTTAATTTTTGATAATGCTTCAAGTTAGTTTGCCTGTATAAGTAATCTTTTACTATTGAGCTTAAATGTAATTTTGGCTTGCTGTCTGTCTGCAGTGGAGGGGCTTGAGGAAGTTGCTTCAACTCCAGCTCTGAAGAGTTGAAAAATGTTCAATAATGGGTAAAACCATATGCAGTAAAATAAATGGACACAGCAGCGACCCCATAGACTTCAACGGAGAATAGTGAAGTCAATTAGAAGCACTCACTTCCTGATTGCCAAGAGCATTGCGCAGGGTCACACTGAGCTTGACGACATAGATGTGACGTGAGCAACCTGTCTGACAGTTGTAAGTCGAACTAGTAGCTGTGCCAAGAGAAATCTGAATCATTCCCTTCCAAATCTTGCAGAGCCGGAGATCCTTGAGTATGAGCTGTCCATGAGTTAGCAGCAGGGGCAACTTTATGACATTCTATGTCCTTCTCCCTTGACTTTATGCCTCCACGTCCCTCCGATTGTCCGTGAGCTTCTCCTCCTATCTATACGGTAATTTATCTACTGTGCGACAGAGAGTCGCGTGTTATGTTAGCCTATTTTACAAAAACTGCTACTATGGAGCCATAATGTAAGATACAAGGTAATGGAGCATTTTATGCATTTTTGTGTTTCTTTAGAAATAAATAATGGACACATGGCGTCTTTAAACGCCTCAGATGTAAAGTTATTGGCCCCTAGGCAGACTTCAGTTTCCGGCTGGTGGGTTACCCCACTTGGGAAAACGCAGCTCTCGTTACTTCACTTTTTACTTAGCTGTCAAATCACAGTGGAGGTGGGGCGGGACAAATACCACACAACCAATCGTCTTATCCTAATTTTACAATGCCTTAACAACAGTGGGGAAGTTAATATTGTTGGTTGTGTTTTTATGTTCAGTAATTGCTGATAAACCAAACTGTCTGCAAAAGCAGATACTGGTGACACATTACTTTCGCAGATATTCCATATCATAACAACAAAATAATTTCAGCTGGAATTCTGGAAAATTAATGCTGCAGTCTGAAGCGCCCCCAGCTGGGTGTTTTCAGAAGAGCGCCTGGCAATTTGGTGGAAACACTTTAATTTAATATTTTGTTTGGCATATGGCCAATTCGTCTCTTTTGCGTTTAAGCAAAATACTGGAGCCAAACCAGAGAAGGAAGTCCAGAAAAGTCCACAGCATCTTTGGACACATCATTTATGTTGTTGTTGGGTGGGGTTTATGCTAATTGTGAATGAGCAATGCACAGGCATCCTATTTACAAATGATTGGAATTAATTAACAAATGTGGCTCCTGTGGGTTGAGAACATGAGAAAACTGAGACACGACGCACTGGCCACTGACACATATATATAAATATAAACCATCAATTAAAAACATGAATTCAATTTTATAATATTGAGCTAGGATTAATAGACTACAGATGTAGGTGTGCTTGTTTAGTCTAAACGCATAAGGACATAAGACCTTGCTAATGTTTTTCTCAAATTTTACTAGAAAAGATTTTAGAATTTTATCATCAGATAATGTAAACCACCTTGTATAATATCTCCTGTTGTCTCCCCCCTCGCCTTTTTTTGGTATGTGTATGGTTTTGCAACTCTTTTTTGCAGCTTCAAATGCTGACATGGCATTCAAAACATATTATTACCACTACTAATGCTTGTTTTTTCTCATTTTGTTTGTTTTAGGTTTATGAGACAAGAGTACCCACTGTTGCCCTGTGTGTATAAAGACAAAGCCCTTGACAAGTTGAAGTGGACCAGAAGATGTTAAAGAAATGATAGCCGCACCGGAATTACACACCGAGTTTCATTTCGCTCAGTGAGTACACAAACACACGAGTTTATGAATACATGCTATGTGTATGCATACGCTGACATATTCTCCCTCACTATGATGACATTGATCTGTTTGTGTGAACAGGGACACTGACACCCGATTCTCATCAGACACTGATTTCGATGATCCTGATGGAAGGAATATCATCATCGGGAAAGGCAAGGTATGTGGACCCTGACATTTTTGATTATCAAGAATCTTTACAAGATTTTACAAGGACACCAGACAATGAATAAGGGTCTTATCTAGGACCCTTCGAGTCATGACTCGAAAAAAGATTTTTTTCATTTTGATGAACGAGTTTGAACGTGAGAGTCACGAACGGAACAGAGCAAGAGCAAGGCGAGCATTTGTGCTTATAAAACTTAAACTTTTTTATTTATTTTTAAAATGTGTGTATATTTTTTTATTTATAACAAAACTAAATATAAAACACAACCCTCTCTCTTTTTGTTTAAATTTAAAAATATTAAACACATTCCAGGCAATATGTGCATTGGTACAAATGTTGCAATAAACAATATTACAGATAATCTTTTAATAAAATAAATGACAAAACTCAACCCTACCTCTTTTTGTTAGATTTCAGTTTTATCAATAATAGCCATTATAAAAGTATAAGTAAAAGGTACAAAAAGCTCAACAGTAAAGCTTAATAACATAAGCAAACAATTCAGTCAAATATACAAATTCAGCACTCAAATATATGAAACTTCACTTAGTCTTCTGCCAAAACTATTGGCCAGGGAACGAATTATAGATTCACGAGACCAAAGATCACCTGTTTGGTCTATACAAGAAAAATATCTCATGTTTAACCACTACAGAAACGTCAGAGTCAGCGGCAAACATCAGAACGACTAGCCAAGGAAAGGCTGCTCCAGCCGGGGTGCGCGAGCGTCAAGCGTCCGGTGATTGCTTAGAATGGATCTCAGTCAAATTATCATTTCAATCTCGCCTGAAAAACTCTTAAAACTACATTTCGTGACACAGTAGTATTATATTTCAACTGTATATTAAAAAATTCTAATGCCCTTGTAGCACGTGCAAGTAATTCCGCGAATGACTGCAATTGCAGATTTCGAACAGAGATGGCGGCAAAGAGGAAAAACTGCGGACTGCAGCTGTAATAATTGAATTAAGCACTTTTTTACGCTATTTATACAAGAACTAGCTGTTTGTAATTCATCAGTCAAATTATTCAAATGTATAAAATTCATCACAAACAATTCGGACATATATGCAATTTAGGGACTGTATTTGCTGTGGATGTCATCCAGGCCTCCAGCCGCTGTGAAAAGTTTGATCCAGTTCTTTACTGTTGACCTGTAATGTCACTCTGCTTCAGGCGAAAAAAGGAAAGAAGGGCCCTGGAGAGAAGGGGAAAGGAGCGGGGAAAGGAGCTGGACGCATGAACGGTCACCACCAGGAAAACGGCATGGAAAATGTCATGCTTTTTGAAGTGGTCAGGCAGGGGAAGAGTGCCATGCAGGTCAGTAAGCATATTACTGGATTTCACACTGCCCTCTGTCACGCTCTGGCATTCACATCTTAAATTCCCTCATGTGGGTTTGTAGCTTCTGGAGGGATTTGAGTGTTGGCAGGAGAATATGCAGACAGATGTACCACTGTGTAATCGAGCAGATTTTGACCTTTGTGGGATTTCTGCTCTTCTTTTTTGCAGTCGGTCGTTGATGACTGGATTGAGTCCTATAAGCATGACAGAGACGTTGCACTTTTGGACTTGATCAATTTCTTCATCCAGTGCTCTGGCTGCAAAGGTTTGAATGTCATTTCTCATGTGATCTGGTTTGAGCTCGGAGATGATAAATGTTGTGTGACAGCAGAATCGTCATAGTTAAATGGAAATGAAGGTTCAGTCATGGAACAGAATGTCCACGCTGCTCTCTTCCATATAATGAAAGTGAATAGGGACAGGGGCTAAGCTCCAAAAAGGACATAAACAATCATAAAATTTGTTCTATTACGGTATTCCAATCTGTATTAAACCGCATGATTAAGACTTGTATGAGGGAAAGACAACAAATTAAGCCTTTGTCATAAAAAAAAATGTAATTTCCATGAAAATTGTGTTTGACTGTTATGGGCAGTTATAAAGGCCATATATCTATAACATTAACCACAACTATACGGTTTTAATAACTGTTCTAATTCTATGAAAATGTAAGTCCACTCCACATCTATAACCATGACAAAGAGGAATGATATTAGAATGATTTTTTAGTAAACAATAAAATGATTGACATCCTATCAGAATCATTTCAAGCAGCAGACAACAAAACTGCAGCATTCGCTTGGAATGGATGTGAATATAGTTAGCATAGACTTGCCGCCGGGTTCACAGACAAGGCTTAAGCCCAGTCCCAGAATAAAATGCAAAGCAACTTGCACAGAGAAATTTTAAATATGTCAGTGCCAGTGTTTTTTCAAGATGCACATCAGTAATGTTAAAAACAAATAAATAATTATTGATTATAAACACAAATAAGAGTGTAGACAGTGGCAAAAAGCGTGGATAAACAGTGTGTAGTAATGATTTATTTCTAAGGCATATTTATAAAAGTTACTTGCATGTCCTAATTGAACTAAGGCCTAATCCTGGCTTCTAAGGCCCCGTCCACACTACTGCATTTTCGTTAAAAAACGGAGAATTAAAACGAATACGATCTCCGTCCACACCAGCGTTTTATCTGCGTATTAGAAATGATCTCCGTCCACATTAAAACGACTGAAAACGCGGATCACGTGACCGTTCACCAACACTGGGCATGCGCGTGCCTGTGTAAACAGTGAGTGACGAATCAGGGAAGGATACGTCATGACTGATAACACCCAATCATGGAGCCAAGCGTCAGCCCCTGCATCAACGTTTCTGAAGTCCTACGTTTTGTCTCGTCCACACTAAAACACCCTCTGGAGATTCAAAACGCAAAACGGAGCTGCAGCGTTTCTAAACTTCTCCGTTTTAGGTCTTCGTTTTTCCCGTTTTAGTCTGGACGGGAGGCGCAAACGTAGCAAAAGGTCTCAGTTTTTAAACGAAAACGCAGTAGTGTGGACGGGGCCTACGCTCTTTCTGTGAAACTGGGTTTTGGTGTCTGAACAGCCTTGAGTTTCATTATGTGGAAAAAAGAAGTGTGGACATTATGCTAAATAAGAAATTAATAGTGAACTTTTCTTTTAGCAGTACTTTTTTTCTGCATTTTTCCTCATTAAAACTTAGTACAACTTTCAGTCCTGACCTGAGCCAAGTTTAAATTTAAGCTCATATAAATTTAAACTGTTTCGCAGGCGTTGTCACTGGTGAGATGTTCCGCAACATGCAAAACTCTGAGATCATTAGAAAGATGACAGAAGAGTTCGATGAGGTAAATTTAGTCTCCAACCCTGAACATGACTCTTATCAAAAACTTGTTTCCTTACCCATTACATACTGTCTTTTATGAATTATTTTGTGCCCACACTAACCATTGAGAGTTGATGTTATTGCAGGACAGCGGCGATTACCCGCTCACAATGGCTGGGCCACAGTGGAAGAAGTTCAAATCTAGTTTCTGCGAGTTTATCGGTGTATTGGTTCGGCAGTGTCAGTACAGCATTATCTATGATGAATACATGATGGACACGGTCATCTCGCTGCTTACTGGCCTCTCAGACTCTCAAGTCCGCGCTTTCAGACACACCAGCACACTGGCAGGTCAGTATCTCTGCTACTTTATAAATCTGAACCTTTTGTTATGATTGGTTCAAATTAGTATCAAGATGCTATGTTTTTTGTTTTGTTTTTCTTTTCCCCATAGCTATGAAGCTGATGACGGCCCTTGTGAATGTAGCACTGAACCTCAGCATTAACATGGACAACACTCAGCGTCAATACGAAGCAGAGAGGAACAAGATGATTGGCAAGAGGGCCAATGACAGGCTAGAACTTCTGCTTCAGAAACGCAAGGAGGTGAGTGTCCTCCAGAGCCGGGACAGGGATGCTGCACTCGTCTAAATAAATTCAGCATGTTGTCATTGCCTTAGAGCGACCATATAAGCTGAAAGTGAAAGTGCCAGAGTGAGTAAATGAAGCCTTCTGAGACACAGTAGAGCACTCTTCCCTGTGGAGACTCACTTCCCTTTGGGTGAGGCTGCCAGGTCACTGCAGTGTTTGCTGCTTTCCTTCCCAACACCTACGCCTCTGTTGGCCAACAGCCTCAAAAACACACGACCAACCAAATACTCAGCACATTTCATCCATACTCTTTCCCTCTACATTAAAGCTGAGTAAACATGGATAATGTAATAAAAAAGGATACTATTCTAATGAGAACTGTTATTGTGGGCTGTCAGGTTAACTGCAACTCTCCTGAATGGCCATGAGTATTAAAGCTGTGTTTAACTGGTGCTGTAAATTAACTGGGTTATGTAATAACAGCCCCTGCTGTTATGCCATCTGCGTTTGTGAGTGTGAGGTTTTATTGATGTCTTGATAGTATTGTGTTAAACCACATGGACACACACAAAACAGTGCACCTATGCAACCATTGTGGAGGGGCAGGGGGAGATGTGCAACCACAGAAACCGAAAATTCTCGGGCCAAATTGCTTAACCTTAATCTTAACCGTTCTATATCATCAGAAACAGTCTTAAAACAGGGATTTTAGTGAAAAATACCGAACTTGTCCTTTAATTAAAATATGAAATTCACGTTTAGTTGTTTTGTCTTATTTGTAAATATTTTAATTCCACCTTGAGGCCCTGTGTTTCAGCGTTATTCCAAATTGCAGAGACTGTGATAAAAAGAAAATCCAAGAGGGAGCTGAGAACGGACTGTGATGTTAGAGAAGCTCAAATATTAAAATACTATTAATTTCACATACGTACACACAGACCTTTGACTAGTAATGCAGGTTACTGCCTGCAGCAACGGTTGAATAATGAGCTTTTTTTTTTCTTTACAGTTACAAGAAAATCAAGATGAAATTGAAAACATGATGAATGCCATTTTCAAGGGAGTCTTTGTTCACCGATATCGGTATGCACATTCATAAGCGTTGATTTTCTTCTAGCACAAACTCTTACCATCAATTACAACTCAGTAATTCTCTGATATGTTCCTGTGGGTGTCTGTGGGCTTAAGTGCTTCTGTTATTCCTCCTCAGTGATGCAATAGCTGAGATCCGGGCAATCTGCATCGAGGAGATCGGCGTGTGGATGAAAATGTACAGTGATGCATTTCTTAACGACAGCTATCTTAAGTATGTGGGCTGGACCATGCACGACAAGGTGGGAATTCAATCATTTTTCTCTGCCTTTTCTTTTAATCCCTGTCAGATGGAGTTAGTCACGACACATTCCTAGAGTTGGAACAAAATTGTATATCTCTCTCTCTCTCTCTCTCTCTCTCTCTCAGCAAGGTGAGGTGCGTCTGAAGTGTCTCACAGCTCTGCAGGGGCTGTACTATAACCGCGAGCTCAACGCCAAACTGGAGCTCTTCACCAGCCGCTTCAAGGTGAGAGAACCATCTGGGGAAGCTTCATCCAAACTAGAGCAAACACAGAAAGCAAAATACTCCTCTCTGAAATTGAGATTTTAAACGAATCATTTTTATGTGTCTTTTCAATATTTAAAAATAAAACGATGTGCTTTTTTTCACTGCTGAGTGTTTGAAGTCAGCATGACGGGGGTTATCTGTTTGTCTTCATCAGGACCGCATCGTATCTATGACACTGGACAAGGAGTATGATGTGGCAGTGCAAGCTATAAAACTGCTCACGCTGGTGTTACAGTACGTAGAAAACCCTGACTACACTTTCTACTGTCCACCTTATTTTTCAACACTGAAGTAAGGTGTTTTTTTGTGAATGTGTGAGACATCCGATGTATTGGTGGCTATAAGTAACGAGAAGAATATGTCGGTGTAGAGCAGTGGTTCTCAAAGTGGGGTCCGCGGACCCCTGGTGGTCCGCGAGCTAAAGCCAGGGGGTCCGCGAAATAATTTACAACCTAACGTTTTTTTCCATGCTATGAGTCATGTTTTCTTTATCATCTGAAAACATGCTGTTTATTCCTAAGTAACTTATATAAAGCATTTAACATAAAACAATACAAAGCAGACACTTAAAGTTTTCTATAGATAGATAATCTATGTCTTTGCGTCAAGTAGATTCGCTGCTGTCGATTTTGCGGGACGTGCGCCAGAAAGGAGACAGAGAGACGGCATGAACCCGCATCCGGTTCTTTTCTGTATTTTTAAAAGGCATGACATTTTGTAGTCATTTATAATGTAGCCTATACACAAATAAAAAATGGACACTTTACCGTTTCGGATGATGCACTCTTGTCTTATCTATGACCATAAATAAGAGTATTCCTGTTTCCACTGCTGAGGAAAAATTCCCATGTAATTGCGCGCCGGCGTCTCGCGTGCGCGCACAATAGTCAGTTCTAGCACTGCTACTGTAGATTTGACATTAGAAGTCTGATCATTATCAAAATAAAAGTGCATAGTGACAGGGCCGTACCCACAACTGAGGTTGCAAGGATGCACATCGCGATGATACTGACCTTCTCGTCTGAGGTGCTTCAGCAGACTAACAACGATAGCTCGTCAATGTCAAAATGTTTGAGTCGGAGTGAACTCAAAGTTCCCCGCACGACGTTTCAGTCAACGGTCATAAAGTGCGAGATAAGATGTAGGCCTTAATTAACATAAACTAAACAGCTGTTTTAGATAAAAGTTTTAAAAAACGACTGAAACAATCAGTTTGCAAAGTATTAATCAAGCTCAACTTTAACCAAGGAAAAAGCAGGTCAATAAACATACTGTGCCCATGAGATTAACATTATGGATTCATATATTTAACATATACTGTATGTTTTTTTTAGCTAATTACAGTAGCTCAAATTAACAACGCACGCACCTATTAAACATAATGCCATTATCATTGTATTTATAGGCTTATGGGCTTTATTTGTGTGCAGAATAGGCCTAATTATTGAAACATTTCTCTTTTAAGGCCATTCCTGATTGGAATATGTGATTGTGTTTCGTGACATCTTGACAAAAAAAAAAAAAAAAGTATGCCACTGACTGACATGCTTCTACTAAATCTATAGTTATCCAATTGTGGGGCCTTAAAACACCTTAAAATGCACATGTGTAGATCAAGAACATCAAAAATTCCTAAGTGAGGGATCCTAACTAAGTGATTCCTAGCAAGATCACTTTCGTTACCGCAGTAGGCTATTTAGAAATTCCTGCATAGTACCCTGGGTGGAGACCATTCATTTTGTGCAAAAATATTTCATTTGCCGCTCACACATTAACTTTGTGCTCAATAACTGTTATAAATATGAGGGGGGTCCTTGGAATTTTTTTCCCCCTGAAAGGGGTCCCTGGCACCAAAATGTTTGAGAACCCCTGGTGTAGAGAACTGTAAAACTGTTTGCGCTTCAAACCAGCGTATTTATAATTAAGACACTACATTAAAGTAATATGATAAGAAATACCTGTTTGCAATATCAAGCAGCATATCAAGCTGTTTTGTACCGTTAAAAATAAATGGAAGCGAATGACATCGGAAGCCAGACACATTAAAATTTACAACTGTCCACGGCCACTCTTACCTGAAAAATAAGATGGGTAGCTGAGTTTCTTTTGATTTAAGTTGGTGATTTGAATTAGGAACTGAATTTGAAAGATATTAATACTTAAGTCTTTTATTTTTTGTAACATTACAAAAGATTTCTACTTCTATTTCTATCTGTTTTGAACTTTCTATTCATCAATGAATCCTAAAAAAAATGCATCAAAAATTAAACGGCACAACTTTTTTCAACATTGATTAAAAAGGAGATCAGCATATTAAAATGTTCTTCAGTGTCACTGTCACATGATACTTCAGTGATGAGCTTTGCCATCACAGGAATAAATTATATTTTAGGGGGAAAAAAATGAGTGGTTATTAAACCAACATTTGACTGATCTCCTGAAACTGTTGGCAGAATTAGCTGTGCTCATACGCTGTTGTTGTTTGGTATTGCAGTAGCAGCGATGAGGTTCTGACTGCAGAAGACTGTGAGAGTGTGTACCACCTTGTGTATTCAGCCCACCGCCCCGTTGCCGTGGCAGCAGGAGAGTTCCTCTTTAAAAAGTGAGTTTTATTCATGGTTCTTTATATTTCATGAAGTTGTACATGTAGTAAACCTAGTCTTTTACCTGCTGAATGTCATACGACAAAACTATATCTAGAGAAAAGACAAGAATGAATGACTTGAAGTGGTGGTTAGACAATATTATATTGAGGTGAAGATTTTAGGGCTGTACTGTCCCAGTCAATTAGACTATTAATAGATCGATACGTTCTGGTTCGACCAAAATTCTGATTGGTCAATATTTTGCCGCATTCATTTCATCAGTTTTGCCGCGCTCATTTCATCAGTCGGAAAGCCCTAACTGCTAATGGGGGTGTTTTCAGTGTACCCCTATTTCATAGGTAACAGTCTGTCTTCAGAACACCCATTATTTGCCCTGTCTTTTTTTTGTAACGTTAGGCTATATGAACATATCAGAATTGGCATATCAGTTATGCACTGCTCTTGGTTTGTTCAATAAATATCTTTTTTTAATTAAATTGGACGTGCCTTTTCTCTTTATAAAGAGTAAAAGCTTTAAGCTTTAATAGTCTATTCGTGTCTCAGCCGCAAAGCTGAGCTCATGTTCAGCATCGCTCAGTGCGAGGACATGCATAGAACGGCTGAAATAATAGTGTCTAACCGTTATAACTTATTAGTATAACATATGATAACTAGAATTGTCTAAATTATGTGGCATATTCGTCAACAGTTCTTATGATGATATCACTAGTTGACAAATAATACTATTTTCGGAAATCATAGGCTTTGATATTGCGCAGGTGCATGCAACGGCGTCAGAGCCGTCAGACTTGTGTGTCAGACTCATTTCAGTGCAAAATAATTAGGTCAAAAACGATTTAAAATACTACAAATAGCCTACTAGTTTTTTATGTTTATTTATCATTCATTTGGGCGGACAACAAGGCTACCAAGTACTGGGCACTGCTAATTATTTATTTATTTATTTTTTAATGTCATTTTTAGTCGATTTGTATTCAAATTTCAGGACTTCAGTTGACCAAGATTTTTTTTTTTTTTTTGGTTAAGTACAGCCCTAGAACATTTTCAATTTTGTTTGCAGACTGTTCAGTCATCGAGACCCTGAAGATGACAGCATGCCCAAGAGACGAGGCAGACAGAGCATAAATGCCAACCTCATCAAAACCGCTGTCTTTTTCTTCCTGGAGAGTGAGGTGAGGTAACATCAACAACATCATTGTAAATGATGTGACTAGTTCTGATAAAGGGTGCTATTTCTGTGCGACTAATCTCACCAGACAGAATTGCAAAAATTATGATTTTATTCTAAATGAGTTTCTCAAACACGCTCTTTATACATCATATTACAATTAAATACAATTCAGTAATGAAGCATGATAGTCTTTTTTTTTTATGAGTCTATGAGTCTAGTATGGCAGCACTATGTAATATTCTAATTGCACACATAAACTGAGATTTTATAGCATGTTATGTTCTGATCCTTAGCTTCACGAGCATGCAGCCTACCTAGTGGACAGTATGTGGGACTGTTCAGCAGAGATCCTGAAGGACTGGGAATGCATGATCAGTCTGCTGCTGGATGAGCCACTGCCTGGAGAGGAAGGTCTGACTCGGTGACACACCAGCAGAACTTTTTACTTTGCTCCAAAGGGAGTGGGAGATTAATTACCTTGGTGTGTTTTCCAGCTCTGTCGGACAGACAGGAGACAGCTCTGATAGAGATCATGCTGTGCACCATCCGTCAGGCTTCAGAGTGCCATCCGCCTGTGGGCAGAGGCACAGGCAAGAGGGTAAGACCTATTGCCACACACATCCACCAGCCCTTGAAGACAGATCCCTGCTTTAACACGTTACCTGTTACACGCTGTTCTCAATTCTCACTTGGTCTGATTTCAGGTTCTGACTGCGAAGGAGAAGAAGACTCAGCTTGATGACCGGACGAGAATGACGGAGCTCTTCGCTATAGCACTGCCAGCATTACTTGCAAAGGTTAAAGTCCATTAAAAGTCAAAGGCAACACGAAATGGTATTTAAAGACGTTCAACTGCTCAACATATTTAGATTTTTTTTTTTCTTTCTCGCAGTACTCCGTAGATGCAGAGAAAGTGACAAATCTGCTGCAGCTGGCCCAGTTTTTTGATCTGGAAATCTATACCACAGGGCGTTTGGAAAAGGTCTGAACCGCATGTCGTTCAAACAATAAATGCACACTGATTGTTGTAGAATTTGAATGAAAGCTGTTTTTTTTTTCCCTCACAGCATTTGGATTCATTGTTAAGACAAATCAGAGAGATTGTAGAGAAGCACACGGACACAGATGTGCTTGAGGCTTGCTCCAAAACCTACCACTCCCTGTGCAATGAGGAGTTCACCATCTTTAACCGGGTGGATATCGCCCGTAGTCAGCTATTGGATGAGCAAGTGGACAAGTTTAACAAGCTTCTGGAGGACTTCCTGCAGGAGGTGAGGACAGCGGGCGGCTCAGGGTGGAGATTCAGGAGCACTTTGATGTTTTCAAAGGAACAAAAGTGTGGAAAGAGTATTTGTGCTCTGCTTCTACTGCAACACTGTGTTGCCTGTTTTTCTGGAGGTCTCTTTGGGGATGGTCTGGCCTCCATTTCCATCATGACAATTTAATTAGTGAGGTCCACTAGTTTTAGATTTTTTTTTTGCACTAATTGTTAATATTTTTAGCATTCGTGCTCTAAAGTGGTGTAATATGTGTTGCATCTCAATGTCTGAGTAATAGTTAGTAAAATCTATTTAATTGTTAGATTTTACTCACCATTGATTGAGTTACAGGCTAAGAATACTTTCAGCAACTTTTACATTTTCACTGTGTTGTATGTGTGTGTGTACTGAATACACAATGTTAAAATATTTCAAATTCAATTTATAAAAATATCTATATTCAGCTGGAATTTTTACCTATTTTTTGGAGCTCACTCAACCCTAAAGCCCCTTTCACACAGCGAGTTGATCCCGGGAAATTGCCGGCAAATTGCCAGAACGCCTTCTGTGTGAACGCAAACACGACCTGGGATTGATTCCGGGTTGGGGACCTAGTAACATTGCCGGAATTAGTCCCGGAACGTGCGCTGTGTGAACAAAAGCCAGGACCAGTGCCGTAAAGGGTGTGTCATAGTGATGAAGCTCGTGCCATCGCACGACTCTGTTGCTCTTAGAAGATAGTTTGTGTTCGTCATCAACAAAGAAAGGACGAACAAATACCTGCAAACTGGAGCGAAGCAGAGACCAGGAGCTCCTCACTATCCGTACTGAAGCTGAGATCGTTCACCAGCGCGTGTACGGTATGCGCGTTTACATGTTTTAGACACGTCCGTTATACGTCTCATCCTGGCGTCATGTGTCTTCCCGGGATTTTTACGGGTTGTGTGTGAACGCACTCACAGATCCTGGCAAATCACTGGCAGTGTGAATGAACCGAAATCAAACAATTCCGGGACAAATGCTGGGTCACATTATCCGTGTATTTTCTGGAATCTCTGTGTGAAAGGGGCTTAAGAAATGTAGCTGGTCAGAGTTTGGTGGATGTGACATAAAATAGCCTTCAGGGCTTCCTTAAGACAGAGCAATGAACTAGTCAGTTTATGGAAACGTATAATTTACACATCCCTAGGTTTCCGTCCAAACTATTTTCCTTTAAATGCAGAAGCTAAGAAAGTTGCAGTCCGTCTCATGAGCAGCTTGTTTCGTTCACAGGGTGAAGACCCAGATGAAGATGATGCCTACCAAGTTCTGTCCACACTGAAGAGGATCACAGCTTTCCATAAGTAAGGCTTTCCTGTATCATCATATAGCTTTTCTCTTTATCAGATTATCACTTATGGCAGGGATTTTCAAACCTGTCCTGGAGCAAACCCTCACCTAATTCATAAGCAAAACTGCAAGACCTGAAGTGCCAGATAAGGGAGACATACAAAATGTGCAGTGCTGGGGGTGCTGCAGGACAGGTTTGAAAACCTCTGCTCAATGGGAAAATGCTGTCATTTATTTACTTTTCTAATCCCCTTTCAACTTTATGTATGTTATAGTGCTCATGATCTCTCAAAATGGGACCTCTTCACCAGCAACTACAAGTTACTGAACACTGGTATTGAAAATGGAGACATGCCTGAGCAGGTATTCATTTTAAGGCTGCATATAGGGTGAATGAATAACTTGTGCCTGACTGGGCTAAACTTAAAGGGGTAGTTGACCCAAAACTTGTGTCATCATTTACTCGCCTTCAAGTTGTTCCAAACCTGTTTTAGTTTCTTTCTTCTGTTGATCACAAAATAAGATATTTAAAAGAATTTTGGTAACCAGACAGTTGACATGGCAGGGAAAAAAAAGAAATACCACCTTAAATTCAGTTGAAACTTTGCTTTTGTCTCATTATTGTCTCTCTGGACTTCTCAGATTGTCATTCACGCACTGCAGTGCACACATTACGTCATTCTTTGGAGCTTAGCCAAGGTCTCTGAGGGCACTTCCAAAAAGGTAGCTCCTGTTCATATGATGTGTATGCATTCATTCTTCCCGCTTGTGTACTGTGGTTTGTTGGAAGTCAACAATGCATTTGTTCTCTGTAGGAGGACATGTTGACTCTGAGGAAGCAGATGAGGGCATTTTGTCTAATGTGCCAGCGTTACCTAACCAGCGTCAACACTGCCGTCAAAGAGCAGGTCTGTATGAAAGGTCACTAGAAGCATTATCCCTCATGCCACAACCAGGCTGTACCTGACTGTATGTTCTCTCTCAGACCTTCACCATCCTCTGTGACCTGCTGCTGATCTTCAGCCATCAGATCATCTCTGGGGGGAGAGAAGCTCTAGAGCCCCTAGTATACACGTCTGAGATGTCCCTGCAGTCAGATCTTCTCAATTTCATCCTGGACCATGTCTTCATAGACCAGGATGATGACAGCAACAGCACAGGTCTATCACTGCTAATAGCGTAACGACTTTCAGTTAGAGCTAACAGGCTTCGCTGAATGGATTGAGCGCCCCTGGCTGTTTAATGTTAAATGCTTAACACTAAGACAACACAAAGGAAATTGGCTTTAGCAGCGTTTAATTGATTTAAAGATTAGAGACTCTAGCAACACTTAATCCTGCTGTGCACTGAGCTTTAGCTGAAGTAGAATGACTAGTTTAAATGAAAGTTGTTTGGACACATCAACTTGCTTTCCTTTTTTGTTGTCAGGTTTTAAAGTGACCACTAGAGGGCAGCGGTGTTCCCTGTATTTGAAGCTGCTCATAGTCTCATTCATGAGCATTATTTGAAAGTCTGTCTTTATTTTTGCTCAGATGGGCAGCAGGATGATGAAGCTGGAAAAATCGAAGCTTTGCACAAGAGGCGGAACCTGCTGGCCGCATACTGCAAACTCATTATCTACAATGTAGTTGAGATAAACACGGGTGCGGATATTTTTAAGCAATACATGAGGGTGAGTCTTTTTGTTTGTTAAATATGTATTTTCAGTTCGTTCAACTTTGACGCTCACTAAAACATTTTTTTTTCCTGTTTAGTATTATAATGACTATGGTGACATCATCAAGGAAACCATGAGCAAGACGAGACAGATTGACAAAATCCAATGTGCAAAGACGCTCATTCTGAGCTTACAGCAGGTCAGTGGCAATGTTTTGTATCTTTCATAAAACTGGATTTTGTTTGCCGGTTGTTCACGTCTTTTTCCTTCTGCTTTGTGCAGCTCTTCAATGAGATGCTGTCAGAACTGGGACCCAGCTTCGACCGTTCATCCTCATCTTTCTGTGGCATTAAAGAGCTTGCTAGGCGCTTCTCTCTGACTTTTGGTCTAGATCAGGTCAAGACTAGAGAGGCTATCGCCATGTTACACAAGTAAGATTCAATTCAGTTCCTCTTGGGTGAGAAGAAGTTTTTGTGTGGAGTTACATCGCATTTTTATGTTGCTCTCTGTCTAAAGGGACGGTATTGAGTTTGCCTTCAAAGAGTCCAATCCTCAGGGTGAGGGACATCCTCCCCTCAACCTGGCTTTTCTGGACATTCTCAGCGAGTTCTCATCCAAACTCATGCGTCAGGACAAGCGGACTGTGTAAGCAACCATTTATTGACCGACCTCAGCATATGTGTAGGTGCATAACTGGACTTTTTTTTTTGCTGTTGAAGCTAATGTTGGCCCTCTCTCTCTCTTTTCCGCAAAAGGCACATGTATTTGGAGCGCTTCATGACATTTCAGATGGCCCTGCAGAGAGAAGACTGCTGGCTGCCCCTCATCTCTTACAGAAACTCACTGCAGGCAGGGGGTGACGATGACACTATGTCTGTGGTCAGTGGCATCAGTAGCCGAGGCTCCTCCGTCAGGAGTAAAAAAGCTAAGCCTGCCACCGGCAAGAGGAAATTACCGGAAGGTAAAACAGTTTGAATTCAAGAAATCAGACAAATAATGTATTTAATGTGATTTAATAATCGTATGCAGGACAACCAATCATTTAATCCAAATTAACCCACCCCTGCAAGCTTATGTTCATCTGACTTGAATGCATCATTAGTCCCCAGCCTAATTCTTTTCTTTTTCTATAATCCATTACACACTGATATATGTAACGATACGGAAGAAAACACCTTGTGTTTCATCACAACTTTAATGATTGTCCTGCTGCGAAGACTTCTGATGACACACACTCTGAATCAACATTCACAAATGCTACATTTTATTTACATTTAGCTGACGCTTTTATCCAAAGCGACTTACAAGTGCTATATATGTCAGAGGTCGCACACCTCTGGAGCATCTAGGGGTTGAGTGTCTTGCTCAGGGACGCATTGGTGTCTCACAGTTGGTTCAAACCCGTGTATCACACCAAATGCATGTGTCTTATCCACTGCGCCATCACCACCCATTTAAATGTCATAATCAATTGTTAACAAACAAGTATTCATTATTACGTTTTTATGTAACTCTGATTTTTGGATATGTACATTTCTGAAATACACAACTTGGACACTAACCTCTCATAACAGATCACTTTAGATTGTAATGTGGACTCATTTTCTCTAAAGATGCTTTGAAATGGTGTATTGTGAAAAGCACTGTACAATTAAATTGAATTGCTGTCTGTGTGCAGAGGAAAGCAGCAGCAGCAGCAGCAGTGAGGTGTGGATGAACCGTGAGCAGAGCATGCAGATGCCCGTCATGATGCCGTCACCCCACCTCACCTCCACCGTCATGAGAGAACCCAAACGCTTGCGTCCTGAGGAGAGCTACATGGGGGTGTACTCCATGACCCCCGATCAGCAACAGCAGCACACACACCCTCAGACCCCTCAGCCACAACACCACCAATCACCCATGGACTACAAGTAAGAGCATCATGACATGGCATCATGGGTATCTCATGACACTCAGTACAGCTATTTTCAGTCATGAAACGTGTGTGCTGCATAGTGTCTAGTTTGGGATTGAATGGATATAGTGAAGGTGTGATGATACTGTTTTACAGCACACAAGTCACCTGGATGCTAGCACAGAGACAGCAGCAAGAGGAGGTGGCCAGACAGCAGCAGGAGAGAGCTATGAACTACGCCAAATTAAGGAGCAACCTTCAGCACGCCATGTAAGATAAATCACTCTCAAAAAGTCCAGCTGTCAAATGCCATTTAAATGCTCACAAAAACATTGTGTTGTTGGTTTGCAAATGCTTGCAGTCGTCGAGGAACTGGCCTGATGGAGGATGATGAGGAACCCATTGTGGAAGATGTGATGATGTCATCAGAAGGCCGGATTGAGGATCTCAATGAAGGCATGGACTTTGACACCATGGACATTGATCTGGTAATACGCTTAAGCTAAAATCCAATTGTATTTATGATTTTGGTCTCTTGGACTAGTTTTTTTTTTTTGTCTAAATTATTACGTAGTAAATGAGGTTTGGTGTCGATAGATTTTTTTTTTAATGCATCTGAAAGAAGTATCTTGCCCAGTCACAGCAGTAATATTGTGAAATAGTATTACTATTTAAAGTAATACGCCTTAAATGTATTTATTCCTAAAGTTTTCTTGTAACACTTAACTGTAAGGGTACATGAATTAAGGTAAGGGTACACAGTAAAGGTACATGAATTCAGGTTATCATGAATTCATGTATAAATTCATGCATGAATTGCATTAATATCTCATAAATCATCAGGAACTAACTCGGGTTCAACGTTTTTCATTCATGACTTCATGGATGAACAACACCTTAATTAAAACATTAACTAAGATGAGTACATTATCATGAATTATGATTTATTACGCATGATCATTGTTTTCTTTGTTCAAAGTTATGCCACCATTAATGGCACATTGTTCTTCAGTGTTTCAAAGGACCAAGTCAGCACTTTAGTTAAGGGGCCACATACATGATGAAGTCATTGATAGATAATGCTTAGTTAATGATGACTACTGTATTTGATTAACAGAATTTGTGTGCTATGAGCTGTGATTGGTCTATTATGGTGTCTGTCCAATACAGTAGCATCATTAACCAAGCATATCTGTCAATGACTTCATCCTCTGTGTGGCCCCTCAACTAAAGTTGTGTTTTAATTAATGTTTTGTTCATCCATTAAGTCATGAATGAAAAAAAGTTGAACCCGTGTTAGTTCCTTATGATTCATGAGATATATGATCGATGCATAAATGAATGCATAATTCATGCATGAATTTATTCACGAAATCATGATAATTCATGTACCCTTATCGTAGTGCTACCAATTTTCTTTACTTGGTCTTAAAGGTTTTGAAAAAAAAAAAACCTTGAATCATTCTAATATGCTAATCAGGTGCTCAAGAAACAATTCTTATAATTATCGAAAACAGTCGTGCTGCTAAATGTTTCTTTTTAGTCACAATTCTTAATCTTTTTTTTCCAAAAGAACAGCATTTATTTGAATTATAAATCATTTGTAAGAGATTGATTATAAATGTCTTTTAATGTCACTTGTGGTCAATTTAATGCATCTTGGCTGAAAAAAGTATTAATTTCGTTCAAAAAAAAAAAAATGCTACTGAGCCCAAACTTTTGAACTTGTTTATATGTACAGTATGTCATACATTTAATACACATTAAATAACTATAATGCCACTTCTTTTTGCACTTCTTATCCTTATTGTCTGCTCTTTCGTATCTTGCAGCCCCCGTCGAAGAATCGACGAGAGCGATCGGAACTGAAGCCCGACTTTTTCGACCCCGCCTCCATCATGGATGAGTCTGTAAGAAGCACTCATTTCCTGGTTATGATGCTTTTCAGCGGTAATGGGGGACTCGTTCACTCCGACACTAAGGACGTGAAAGAGAGATTACCACTAGATGGCACTAGCAGGAGTGATTTCAGATAGTTTGAATTGCCCTTGTGCAAAAAAGACAGAGGGGGAGAGCATCTCGCTATTATAAAAACTAATCAGACCCATCTGGACTGGTGATTGAATGAAACGTTTGTTTGGTAACTCTAAACACTGAACTGAATTTAAACATTTTCTCTTGTAGGTCCTGGGAGTGCCCATGTTTTAAGATTATAATTGGAGGAGTGTGAAGAGAAGAGACATTTTGTGTGAATTCGCATTGATTCTCTAAAGAGAATTAAATTCAATGGTGTGATTGGCATCCAAATCAGCTTGTACCATTGACACTTACTAAAACACAGAAAGGATAAAGGAGCAATTCAAAGTCTTTGCAATCATTGTGTGGGCTTTCCATGATCCTGCAAAACCGTGACCGTAGTAGATAGATACTGAACGGCATGGAATCTCGGACTGTCCTTAGCCATACATGAGTATATGAGATATAAATATATATATAAATAAATAAATATATATATAAATATTTCACAGTTGAACGTCATCATGTTTAAAGAAACGTATGTGAGATCTCTTAAAGTTGTGGTATTTCTTGAAGCCAGGGGTGAATGCATCTTTTTTAACTTAAAGACAACTTTGTTATGTATAGCCTTTTGTAATAGTGAGTAATCTGGTGTAAAGTAGTAATTTATAAGCAGGTTTTTTGCTCATCATAGTGAGTATTGATATATTTTATTCTTCTTATCTAATATGTGAAATGGAGGAAAAACCTCCAGGTCTTTATATCTAGAATTTAGTTTCCTTTTATTCCACCTTCAAAAATCATGACATAACCCAAACCCTAAATCAAAAACACACTTGAGCTGATTTATTACGGCCTTTGGTGCATGCGTGAAGTTTGGGGCAATTTCAGTGACATGATCAGTGAATGGTTGAGGTGGTATTCAACATGCATACACCAGTGGGCCTGTTGCTCTCTTTGCCCCGACATAACTGTTTTTATGTGCCAACTGCTCTAGTAAATCAGGCAATTAGAATCGCAGTCAGTCTGTGAAGATGCTCAGAAAGGACTGTAATTCTTCCGCAGAGTCGCAAGGCTTATCCAAAGATCAGATCTGCTCGCATGTCCCTCTAAAATCAAGCAAGGAAGAGGAAATCTCTCCAGTAGTGCCATTGTGTTGTCTCTAATAAAACTGAACTTAGTGTAGTATGTCTGGTGGAGATATTCTTCTCCCTGATTAGAGCTATGTAGACATCTACATTTAAATAAAAGTTATATATAAATATATAAATTGGTGCTGATTTTATAATTGTGCTTTTTTTATTTTTAAAATTCCAACTTAGAGTTAAAAGGTTTTGAAATGTATAAGAACAGGTCGAAACATGAAAGTGTGTAGCCATGCAGCAAGTAAAGGTTTGAGATTTTATTTTTTCCTCCTTTGTGTGTGTGAATTTATTTTATTTTATTTTGTTCAGTCTTAAGATGTTTTTTTAGGTTTCACCTTTTTTCCTAATTGTAAATTAGTTTGGTTGCAATTCATGGACAGAACTATTTTATTCAGCTCTGATTTTGTTTTTCCCCACATGAAATATTTGAAAATGCAACAATAACGTCCTATGAGATCCTAAATGTTACAGCATTGCGTTTGGCAGCTCTACACAGCTTAACTAATACATTAATACATGAACTTGTATTGCAGACATGTGCATATTGTCTGGGGTATACTTTTTAATCATTCCATGCCTTGGCCTTAAAATGTCCTTGTTTTAAAAAAGGAAAAGAAGGTGGTTGTCAAACATAAATCTTCCATGTTGAAACTTTTATGTGAGGTACATTGGATTCCTTTCGTATCAGAAAAGGATCGGTGCATTTCTGAAATGGCATGAGTGTAATTATTTAAAAGGTGTGCAGACAGATTTTGGATTTATGAAAGTAAATGCCCTTCGGCTTAAACTGTCTTCTGTTCCTCACCACTACATTCATTGAACTGCTGAATAGATTGTGTAAATATACATGCATTTAAACGTAAAGCTTAATTTTCTAGTGATTTTTTTTCTGTTAACCTTTTAAACATATTATTATCACTTTTCCCTGTTCAGAGATATAAACTCATACATAACCGTTTCCCTGTCCTCTGTTATCCACTGTAATGTTTCTGATTTGTATCTGTCTGGAGACAGTAAGTTTTTGAATAAAAGTAAACAAATCTTTCTTGTGTATTTGTGTGACTCTTTTTTTTTTTTTTTTTTTTGCCCAATGTTTTTACTCACTCACTTACAAATGAGGGAAGTCACACGCAGTATATTTTGAAATTAATTAAGTATTTAAAAATAAATAAATAAAAGTAGATATTTAGAAGTCAAGAAA